CTCCAGCAGCAGGGCTGATTCTGGCGCTGCCTCACTGTTGGCTCTTTTTCAGACTGAGGCTGGGTCTTTATATTCAGGGCCGATGGGCACAAATGCAGCTTTTTCCCCCTCACTCCTGGACCCTCTCGCGGCCCCTCATCTCTCCCTGTGCCTCTTCCCGTCTCCTGCTTCCCCCTTTCTGTCGAAAACAGCCTGCCCCCCATATACATTCCTAGCTAGCCCCCTCCATTTCTGGCTGTCCATGTGGCTGTTAAAAATAAAAACAATTATGAAAATAACATTTAAATAATAGATAATACTATATAATGCATCTCACCAGTTACTTGGTTCTTTTTTCTCTTTCTGTTGTCTTAGGGGAGGTTGATTTCCGCCCCCACAAATTGACCTTGCCATTCTCTTCCTTCATCTGCCTGTTTTCTCCATCTGATTCTTTTCTTGCTTTCCAGACATAAGATAGGTCTCCTCTGCTCCATTTCCCCCCCTCTCCTTTCCCCTTGGGCAATTCCTCCCTGCTCTCCTAGCATTCCAAGATCTAATCACCTCAACCAGGTGCGAGGGAGGCTGCCATCCCTCAGGATCCCTGGGCTGGGTTTAGCGTAGTTTAAGATATCATCACCCAGAACACACATAGGACACATGAAAGATAAAGGAAAATGTCTTCTATTTGTCTGGCTTTCCTGAGAAAACTAGTGACCGTGGTCAGGATGCATAGTTTCTACAGCTGTGGCACTTAGCCTGGAACGATGATGCAGAGGGAAGCCGTCCCAGCCCCAGACCGTGTCACAGAGAGTCATCTCTTGGAAGACCATAAGAGGCTGAGCCCCATGTCTGAACCCTCCCTGGAAAAAGTTATGGGAAAGTGTATAACGTTGTTTCCTGTGAGAACATTCTAGAAAGTCCCAGATCCATTCCACTTCTTCCGCAAAATAAGAGGTGGATTATCATCAGTTATGAACCCAAATACCTAAGGGGCCCAGGAAGGTAATTTAAACGAGGAAAAGAGATACAGGTCTGGTAACTCAGGTAAAGCTAAGAACCCTTTCCCCGTCCAAAGGGGGTCAGTATGACCAGTCGTTGGCACAGGAGGATGGTGTGTAAGGGAAGCTAGAGAAACACATTATTTAATGTGAAATTTCCCAGTTTTAAAATGGTGGGCACTTATCAAAACTTTTAAAATACTTTGTGGGCTAAAGCTCATTAGCTCTGTTTGTGACCCCTGGACTAAAGGATCTAAGGTCCCTTCCCATACTTGCTCTCTAACAGTGGTCATAAATCCAGAATAATAAGAATAAAGATAATTACCAGACTTCTCACAGCTCTTTTCAGTTTATGAAATGTGTTCTCTTCATATTAGGGATATGGCAGTATATTTTAAAAACATATCCACCTGAGATATATCCACGTCAGTTGTGTTCTCTCCATCTCCCTCTCTGACCACCAGCCCAGGCAACCCCAAGGCTTCAAGGAAATGAACCCCCCAAACCCCTCCAACCCCCCCAAAAGTTAAGGACTTCATCCTAATCTTTCCAATTAAACTTGCCATGTAAAAATCCACTCCACCTTCAAAGAAGAGCTACTTCCTAAATTATTTAAATTTTGCTACTGTTCACTTTGCAAAACTTAAAGACAATCACCAAACCCACCAATAACAATGGATCAATTTCATGACTTATAAATAAATTTTATTCCTAAATAAAAGATTAACAAATTGAATGCAGCAGTTTTTTCAAAGAACAATGAATATGTGACTAAGCAGAGTTTCTTTCAAGAAGGTAAGGATGGGTTGAACATTAGAAAACCTACTAGGATAGTTCATTATATTAATGAGTCAGAATAAAAAAGGAATATAGTGATAGAGCTCAAGAGACAGTTGATATATTTAACATCCTTTCCCAATTAAAAGCTTATAGTGAACTAGGAATAGAAAAAAATTTCTTTAAAGATGATAGTGTATTTAAAGAATATCTAGGGACTTCCCTGGTGGTGCAGTGGTTAAGAATCTGCCTGCCAATGCAGGGAACACGGGTTCAAGCCCCGGTCTGGGAAGATCCCACATGCCGCGGAGCAACTAAGCCTGTGCGCCACAACTACTGAGCCTGTGCTCTAGAGCCCACGAGCCACAACTACTGAGTCCTAGTGGCCACAACTACTGAAGCCCGCATACCTAGAGCCCGTGCTCTTCGAGAAGAGAAGCCACAGCAATGAGAAGCCCGCACAATGAAGAGTAGCCCCGGCTCACCACAACAAGAGAAAACCCCGCAGCAACAAAGACCCAACGCAGCCAAAAAAAAAAAAAAAAAAGAATATCTAGCACCAACCAGGGGCAAACGTTTGCCATACCTAACTAAAAACTGAATGCTCATTACCTTGTCCTGTATTCTTCAAAAATTTTCTGAAATTTTGGCCACTGCAATACTAAGAGTGAAAACTGCATTATTTGTAGGTGATGTGATTGTTAACATAGAAATTGCAGAGAGATTGGCTGACAAGCTATTAAAACTAATAAGACATTTTCAGCGTGGTAGGATGTAAGATACATACACATAGCATTTCATAGCTTGTACGCATGTTACACACATATACACTTGAAATAATCCACTGTGATAGTTAAGTAGTTTTCAATTTTTTACTATTCCAAAAAATACAGCAATAAACATTCTTGTACAGATTATTGTGTACATTTGTCTGTTTACCTCCTTGAAATTAGTTCCTAGAAATGGAATTGTTTAATAAAAGATTATGGAAATTTCAAATTTTGATACATAATGCCAAAGAAGAGACTCAAGAATAGTGTGTGCTGGGCTTCCCTGGTGGCGCAGTGGTTGAGAGTCCGCCTGCCGATGCAGAGGACACGGGTTCGTGTCCCGGTCTGGGAAGATCCCACATGCCGCGGAGCGGCTTGGCCCGTGAGCCATGGCCACTGAGCCTGCGCGTCCGGAGCCTGTGCTCCGCAACGGAAGAGGCCACGACAGTGAGAGGCCCGCGTACTGCAAAAAAAAAAAGAATAGTGTGTGAGCAACTAAGACCCAACACAGCCAAAAATAAATAAATAAATAAATCTTTAAAGAAAAATAGTTTGCACACTCCAATTTATTCTGGTAAATGGATTGGGATAGGGATCTTCACTTTACCTTTTTTTTTCCCCCTCTTTAATTTTTGCCAAATGCTAAACCAGTTGCCCCAGTATCACTTCTCGAATAATCTTTTCTTTCCCCACTACTTTGAAATAGAATTACTCTACATATTGGAATGAAGGATATCTATATCATAGTAGGTGAAAAAATCTGTAGGTATTCTTTGATCAAGTAAAAAAATTTTAATGTGTGGAGGCATAGAAAATTTCAGAAGGAGCTTAAACTGTTCCTTTTTCATTTCCTATGGGTAGATGGTGCTTCTTTGCCTGGAAGATTCTTCCCCTCTTGTAGCTCAGGTAACTTTAATAGGAGGGCATCCTTGAAGTTTTGGCTTAAACTTCTTGGTGGGGGGGGTTGGATTGGGGGGCGGCAGACACCCTGTCCTAGGTAGGCACCCTCTCAAAGAACCCTGTACTTGCCATACTACCTGTAGACCATCCTGCACCTTTTATCTAAATTACTTCTTACTTTTTCCCTAGACTCTAAGCTCCATGAGGACTGCATATGGGTCACTTGCTCATTGCAGAGCCTAGCACAGTGTCAGTGTGTGGCAAATAACCGCCACTCACTGAGCACTTACTGTATACCAAACACCATGCTAGGCGCCTTCAATGATCACACTACGCGCTTAGATACTATTATTATCACTTCTGAGCACGAGGAAACCGAGTCGGAAGCTTGTCGCACAGGCTATCAATTCCCAGGCCTGTCTGCCTCTTGGCCACTACACTCCCTCTACGGGGATCAATAAATATCGGAGGTCATCAATAAATATCGAGGCTTGAGGATCACTTGGAGGGGACTTTGTTGAAGGGATGCAGCCCTGGAGGGTGGCTGGACTGGTAGCCCTTTAACAACCGCATTACGACCCAGACCCTCGCAGGCCCCGCCCACTCCGCGCCGAGGCCGGAAGGGAGAGGCAGGGGCGGGGGCGATCTTCCGGGGGCGGGGCGGGGCTGGCGCTGGTTGGCCGGCTTCGGCCGGAAGTCGGGAGGTTCGAGGGGGTTCGAAGACGCCGGCTTATGACGGGGAGGCTTGCGTGGAGGTTGCCTCTCCGTCCTTTCGCTCCCTGGGCCCTCGGGAAAAACCCAGCACCCCGTCCCCGTGGCCAGCCCCTTCCGCCAGGCTCTCTCCGCTCGATTTCGCCACCGTTATGTGGGAAGCGAATCCGGTGAGTAGCCGGGCGGGACGGGGCGGACCGATGGGCGGGGTTGATGGGAGAGGGCGGGAGGGGTTCCCGGGAACTACGCCCGCCCCCACCCCCACTCCCCACCCCCCAGGCCGCGCCGACCAGCTGATGAGTTCTGGGGACCCGAAGGCCCCGGCCCCGGCGTCTCGGGCAGCCCCCTTGCGAGCAGTGGAGACGGCTCGGTGGGTCCCCAGCGCCGTGCGGCTGTCCCGTCCCACTGATTGGACTCGCTGTGGTTTCTCCGCCCCCGTCCCTTCACCGTCTTTGTAAACTTGGCGTTTTGCTCTCTGGCTGGAGTTCCTGGGCTTCAGACCTGTGACTGACTTAGGCTCAGGTGTACCTGCCAGCCCCACCCCCATCCCCGTCCAAAGCGAGGGGACTTGCCCTCCGGGTCCTGAAATGGGCCTAAGGGGAACCGCCGGGGCTCCTTTTCCCTTCCTGGTGGACAGCCATGGAAAACTGGGGTGGTCGAGCGTGTGTTCTAAGCCTCTAGATGGTGAGGTTCTTAGATTTTTTTTCCCCAGTGGACAGAAACTGATGACCTGGAGCTTTTCCACTACAAGTCTTGTGTCTCCCTCCGGTATTTGCATTGTGTCTGCATGCATTTTTGTTTTACCTTGCTTTTGTACATTTATTTATTTAATATGCCGCCTTCAAAGAGTGGAATCCGCTTGCCAAGAGTATTCCATTAATCTGTTAGAATTGAAGTCGCCTAGTTACACGGCAAATAGACACTATTTACGCCTTTGAGTTGACTGGAAAAATGGCAGAATCACGTATCAGCAAATTGTTGGCCTAAATATGTGCAACTACCCCACGTACTGAGATAACTTCCTAAATTTAGTTTAATAACCCTGTTTCCATATTTGCAGTAACTCCTTTGCTGTAATCATTACTTCTTTTCTTTTCCATTCCTGGCATATATTTCCAGATAAGTTAGAGAGTTTGTCAGTAAATTTGCTTCTGTTTTTATGTTTTTACCCGGTAGAAACTAGTCTGTTGGTCTGGATTTTTTTGGTTGCGTATCATGGTTACATCCCAGGCCATCGAATAGCGATGATCATTATCTAAGACCCCCCCCCCTTTTTTTTTTTGGTTCAAACATACAATCCTTTAAGGCCACATCAGAGGAAAGTAATTGCTGGGTTTCGATTTTAGCAAAAATAATTTCAAATTGTGAGAATGTGCTCTCTGCTTATGTATTCAGTTTCACTATCTGTCATCAATAAGTTTCATTTTCTATTATATGTGTGTTTGTGTTGTATTCAGTTTTTCTTGGCAAGCCTTCTCCTTCCTGGCTTCTCCATAACATACCCTTTAGTCATCCAAGTACAAAGTCACATGTCTTAAATCCTTCATCATGTTAGAAGCTCCATATGGGCAGAGACTTTTGTCTGTTTTGTTTACTGCGGTATCCTCAGACTAGGGCACAGAGCCTGACATATAGTAGGCACTCAGTAAATATCCATTGAATTAACAAAGTGGTTGCATCAGTACTAGAAAGAGTCCTTTGCTCCCATTGTTCATTCTCCCTCCTCCATCACATATACATCAGAACTGGCTACTGGGTCACTCATGTGTTTGTGAGGATTATAAAGGCATTAATGAGTATCTCATATATTTGCTTTGTTACAGCATTATCTCACTTCTTTGGAAGGAAGGCTTGGTTTTCTCTGAAATCTCCCTAATGATTTTGCTTGATTTCAGTAGAGCAGACTGACTTTTGTTAATAGTGGCGAACCTTCCACCTACAAGCCCACATTCTTCTTTTGACCCTTATCACGCTGCTCTGATAGATCTTAATGCCCCTGTGTTTTCTTACCGGTACTGTTTTTCTTCCTCTGAGCGTATGAATGTTGTCAATAAGGACAGTTTCATTTTGTAAAAGTACAGTGAACGTTCTGCATATGGATTTCCTCTTGTAATTTGTTAGTTTCTTTGAATAGAAGAGGCATCTGAATAGTCTGTCCAGCTGTGCTTGTGGGATGAAAATTAATTTTAATGTTTCTCTAAGCCAAACACAATTGGAAAGATGAAAAAAAAAACCCACAGTGCATCCTAAAGATATCCTAAAGATAAATACAGATGACTTTTGTCATCTGTACCCACCAATTTAAATTACTGTTTACCATTTCTTTCCATTGAATGATGCATTAAATTCTGCTTTGTGGAGGAAGTCCATGGAGAACTGCTTTAACTGAAGACTTCTGCTAGTTTCTCCCTGTATTTTTTTAGTAGCTTCCATGACTTTGATATGCCACCTGTGATCTGCAAATTTATCTCCTCTTGCAAATACGCCTTCAGTGTGATACTGTATTCCGCTCGCAAGTGTTTTGAGGAAATACTGCACTGACTCTGGCCATGATAATGCTCAGAAGCAGTCACCCCTTCTACGTGGAAAGTCTCCATGACATGGTTTGAGTATATGGAAAATCACCATTGAACTTGGAACATTTTCTTGGGCGGGGGAACCCAAAACAAGATAACCAAGGAGCTATAAATAAACTTTATCTCAGTACACCATTTTATTTTATTTTTCAAGACAGTCATGAGGTCAGTGATGATTCTGTTCAAGCCTTTCACCAACCACGCCCCTTGAGGTCCCTGCCGAGGTAGAAGCAGGTTGACAGGGCATCAGGCACTCAGTTCTGGTGTGAGATCCTGGCAGTTCTCCACCCACCTGGGGGGGCGGGGGTGGCCCTGGACTGATGTCCCCCAGTGTAGGGAAATGGCAGATCTGTAGGAAGGAGTTGGAGGGGATGCCGTCACTGCCTTGACTCTGTGTACCCTGACTTTGCCCTGCCTTTTTCTGTCTCTTTGCTGCTGTCTTCCCCCTCTTTGCAGGAAACGGAGTCAGTATCAGCATTACATAGGAGGGAGTTTCAGTTTCTCTCTGACGACAGAAAGTGAAAAATGACAAACATCTGTTACGATAACAAATCATCTGTTGCAGTGATAGGACCTTACTTTGTAAAGAGTGATAAACTCTTCAAAATTCCTTTTCGTTTATTAATTCATATGATTAGAACAATCTAATGAGTTAGCTAAGGGAGAAGGAAGTGACTTCCCCAAGATCTCGCAGGTTGGGTGAGCCACAGAGTCGTTTAGCACCCATGTCCTCTCTGCCACCACCCTGCCGCTCGGTCCGGGCAGTGATAACGTTTGTAAATGGGTCCAGCGCTTTACCCGCTGAGCCTCACTTTTCTCTGTTATTTTATATTCACAGCTGCTTCCACGCTCGCTTCGCACTATGATTCTCTCCTTCCTCTGTCCAGCCTCTTGAGAGAATAGTCTTATACTTCTTGTCCTTCGTACTCAGACCTCAGCCCCCCCAGCCCCGCCTCTGCCCCAGCACTTGACTTGCTAGGGGGTCACCGAGAGTTTCCGAATCACCACGCACAGCGGCCACCTGCACACCTCACTCTCTTCTGTCATTTTGCAACAGTAATGCCACTGGAGGTGTTTCTCAAAACTCTCTTTGATTTCCTGGGACTGTATTCCTTTGGATTTCTTCTCCTTTCTATGATTCATCCTCGAATCATAATCTTGGGTGAGCTGCACTGCCTTCTTCTGCCCCTGAAATGTTCCACCTTAGCCTTTTTCTTCTCTCGGCACATCCTTTTTTTGGTGAGCCCCAAGGCTTCAGATATCTCTTTAGTGACTCTACCTGCCAAATGGACGTCTTTAGTCCTGACCCCCTTTCTGAACTGGGTGATGGACAGCTCTACTGGTTGTCCCTCCGGGAGTTCAAAGTCAGTATGTCTGAATCCAGCTCCCTCAATCACTGAGTCATTATTTCATGCAGTCAGTCAACAAACACTGAATAAACATCTATTGTCTGGAAAACACCATTCCAGGCACTAGGGAGGGGCAGGGCAAACCTGGACCAAGTCAGAGCCTGCCCTCCAGGGCCTGGAGATACAGTTTGAGTGGAGACAGTGTTACCAGAGGGCCTCTGGGGGCCTGGGAAGGTTTGTTGAAGCAAGTTACACTTGAGCTAGGTGTCCAAGTCCCAGAAGTGGTCTTGTGGGAAGGGCAGAGGAAGCAGTATGGCCAAAGGCCACGGAAGTGAGAGAGAGAATGGCCGCTACAGCTTGGATGGAGGAGTGACGTGGACAAAGCGCAAGTCCTCTGGTCGTCTCGGTGAGGACATCGCGAGAGGATGAGGGTGGGGCGCTGCGAAGACAGCAGCTGGCATCTGTGGGACATCCTGGCTGAGGAGGCAGCGTATTCGATAGACGTACCTTTGGGCTGGAGGGGGACAGAGGTAGGATGTGTTCCTGGCAGTGAAAGTTCTGGAGAATGTACTGTCTATGAAGATGTGTTCTTAGGGTCAGCGTACACTCACAGGTTCATAACTGACAGCTTTATCTTCTTGGCATTCTTTGTAATTGTTCTAGCAGTGGGTTGAGCTGAGCTGACAGAGGAGTGTGACGTGCCAGTGTTTGGTGGCTGGGGGCAGTCTAAATAGAGTATGGGGTCATCCAGTACCTCTGAGGTGGGGATTTATAAATGATTGTTCTCTTTTTTAGTGATGAGACTAAGGCTCAAAGTTGGGTGCACTTTCTGAATGAGGACAGCCAGGTTCTAAACCCAGAACTTTCTGGCTCCAGCACAGGTACTCTTCCCAATCCAACTTAGGATCTAGGCTTTAAAGTGAGTAGAAAAGACCCTGTGGGAGAGTCACAGGGACTCAGAGCTAAAGGAAGTGTTCTCGAACTGCAGGAAACCTTGATGTTTCTGTGACGCCAGCTTCTGCGTGCCTGGGCCTTTGCTAGTGACGCAGCCCACGAGCCGGAGAGAAGCACTGGGGCCTCTCCCCGGGGTTGGCGCGGCAGATGCCACACAGGCTAAGGGATGAGTCTAATAGTTTCTGGTATCAGGGGACAAAACAGAGTTTGGGAAGCAGGCTGGAGGCACGTGTTTGTGGTCGAGGCCTGAGGGATGGGGTGAGGCAGTTTGCCCATTGTGACCCGCCTGGC